TAACTGACCGAGTTTGGATCGACTCATGAATTCAACTATTAAAATTACTACAATCTCCACAAATCCCAATTCTGGTAATAATCATGTGCTCACTAGTGACTAGCTTCAAGACAAATTTCCTAATATTCCAGTAAAAAGCGGTGACCAGTAGAGTCCAATCTGTGTCCGGTGGAGACTGTTATCCACCTCAGACAATAGATTAAGGGTTGCTCAAGTCCATGGATTGATTGAAGTTAGACATTAACACTGTTGGATGCCAGCTCAGTGGTCTACAAGTTAAGTGTTGGTGAGCGAGACCCAAGGTCCTGAGTTCGAGTTCCACGTGCAGGATCGTGGGTGCACACTACCGAGGAGTCCTATAATAGGATGAAACGGCCATCCAGTGCTTCCAAGTTTCCAATGGTGGGCTAACTTTGATCGACCCATGACCTCAATTATTAAAATTACTACAATCTCCACAAATCCCCATTCTCCATAAATTGTGCGATTACCTAATAAAATTTGACATTTTGTCTATCTGAAGTCAGTTTGTGATCTAAAACTACGAATCTCATATCACTCAATAAAGTGCTGGTAATACACAATTTTTTGCTATGAAGTTGAATTTTATAGTTAACATAATGAACCGATCTTTGTTAAGCAACTATTGAAAACCAGACAGCACTGGATATCTGTTGAATCCCGGTTCGGGACTCTCCGGTAGTGGTCATCCGCGATTTCATCAGAGATCAAACTCAGTACCGCCTCCCTCTAAGTGGGCGTTCATACGTGTTCAGTAGATTTCAACTATATCGGATATGGAGCAGATACCTACCGAGGACATCAGCTGATAGTTGCGCAAGATCGCTGATCAATTAAAATTAGATATGTAAGCTATCGGATCCCAGCTCAATTGTCTGGAGTCTAAGTACTCGCAACGAGATCAGAATACCGCCGGTTCGACCCCTTGTAGGGTCATGAATGAAGAATGCTGAGTAGTGTCACACAAGGAAGAAGTAGTTGTTTAGTGCTCCAGGATTTTGACCAGTTATGCAAAGTCATTTCTTGATGTTGACTATAGAAAAGCGAGCATCTCGTCTTATTCCAATTATACTTTTATTATCGTGATGTATTTTTTTTGGCAAATTGACTAAAATTGAATTTTCTTTTCTTTGTAGATAACTTAGCCTAAATCCTGTTGTCTAAGTGATATTATTTGAATACTGAAAGATTAACTAGTTAAAAGAGAACGTAATAACAACTTCTTTTTATTAATTGACACATACAATATGATAGAAAAACCAACTAACACTTGTTTCTAAACTTTAACATTGAATATGATTTTATTAAGGGAGAAACTACGTCGTGCAGAGTGTAGTTGAATAAATTGATCGAATGGAACTGATGCACTACGATCTAATGAATAAAATTAAGATTTAAGACATTAAATTATATAATACACTCCAATTTTATAGTCATAAAAGTATACCAAAGATTTAGAGTGGAGATCTTTCAGTATGAATTCTGAATTAAACAAATCTAACAACGAGAATAATATGTTTATCTACAATTACTGACAACTGATGGATTACAAAAGTTTATTTAAAAGGTTTAAAAAACGATACAGAGAATAACAACATGACGAACTGATACACAATCTCATCTCAATAATAATTTGATCAATAAAAAATTAGCTCTCGATGTACAACAAAAAATTAGCTATATTAAAGCACAGTAAGGATTGATGTATTAATAGTGGAAAAGCAGAGTAAATAAGAGATCATAAAAATGTTATCCGTCACTTTTTTTTGGGGGGGGGAGACTTTTAATTATTATGTACAAAAGACAAAACAGAACCATCAGGACTCACAACAAGTATAGTGTTTCTAAGCCATTAGTTTTTCAACTTCAACAACTAATGATATCTGGTAATGTGATATTTAATTGGATGCTATCAATGAATCATTTGGTTGGCTGAATTAGTGAGGAATTTCTACCAGAATTTCGAGAAATTCATCTCGAATTTCACCATTAATAATAAACATCATAATGATTAAATGGTGATACGGTAGTGTGAATGTTTCATGATCATCGTGAAACCAGATGATTTTTGCTTCAAACTTTGTGTGAGGCTGTCAGTCTATACTGTTATCATATCCCAAATATGGTCAAGAAATGTATCCATCCATATTTTTCATTAGTTCCACAGATAATGTTGGTTCATGATGATATATCATAGAAATTAAATAATTAAGTCAAATAAACAAGTACTGTAGTGAACGGAACACGGGTGGGGACAATCGAATGTATTAAGTACAAAATTACAGGACTTGTTAATAAAATCTAACAATCAGAAAGTAAATGCTTAATTTGCAAAATGTCCACCAATTGTCTCAAAATGACTCAGACTTCATTGTTCTTACATTTTCATACAAATTGCATCCTGTTTCCATTCTTTGCTGTTCGATCCTCTTGTCTCTCTGCTGTCAGACCTTCTGTTCACGACTAACATCATATACTACTTATGTCAATATAAGTAGCACACACCATAGTACCTTCATTGAAACTATAGACAGTTTTAGCAGGAAAAAAACATTCTGTTTCTCTTCTCAAATTAGACGATAAAATTCACCCAAAAATCATTTAGTGAAATGTTTTTTTTGAAAAAAGCATTAATAATGAATCAAAATAATATCCGTATAAATATTCACATTAAAAATATAGTGATAATAATAATAATAATAATAATAATAATAGAATAAATAAAACCCATAACAGATTGAATGGAGTATTATTATTATTATCATTACTTTTACGTACAAAATAACAATGAAATTGTTACACTTTTCCTCTTTTCTCACTGATGAAATCTACTGTTTAATTCTTTTTCTTGTGTTTAGAGAGAAAAACAAAAAAATAATATTCGTATAATGAAAAGAAACAGAGATACTGTCTTCGTCTATCTCCTTTTCTTTCTTTCTTTCTTGATTTCAATAATAAACAATGTTCACTTAAACACACGCGCACATCATAGAATTGTATCTTACTTATGTAGTTAACTGTTTCACAGAGATGGTAAGTGAAATATAACCTCAGATAGAGAGAGATATGGAAAAATATATATTCAGCTAGTCAAGTACAAGATGAAGAAAAGAAATCAGAAAAAGCACTGTAAGAAAGAAAACAATATAACGAAATATTAATTAAATAAGCACCAGACCATATGACGTTTCCCATTAATGTTGTGATATTTACACAACTTCTTAGCATAGAAGATGAATATTATTAATTTGTGAATTGAGTGAAAAGGTCAATTATCTTAATATTTCCATAATTTATTTTTACAGAAAGAAAAAAAAATGAGAAAATGTAAAATTTCTTGAGAAAACTTAGGAGATGATGTAGAATATTTGTACTTCAAAGTGAAGATTTTGGAGATGTTCTCTGAATTGAATGGTTTAATTCATTTTGAACTACAAGTATTCTCTATCTTGTTGCAAATCAATATGAGTGTAATAGGCTTCTAGCTGTTCGAAAATGAGAAATTCCTTAAGAAGCAAACTTCCACAAAATAATAATCACATTTCCTTCGATTGAATCATTTAAATTAGAGGACATGACATCCACTAAACAAAAGAAAACGTGTACTTTAATTCAATCTAATTTTGTTTTTTGTCACAATCAAGAAAAAATAACTATCTCTTATTCATTTGCTAGTTAATTAAACTTTAGGAAAGAATCGATCAATGAATTCTTATAAGTAAAGATCTCTAGATTCCACTGTTAACTGCAATCAATCTAAGTAAGACTATATCTAGAAATTTGCTTTATATGAAGTACAGATTTGTCTTGTATTCATCCAGAGAATTAGTACATGCATAAACATACCTTAACAAACTTTCCTATTGACTTTATATAAGAAGATCACTCAGGATGATTACAAGGAGTTAAAATAAATGTGCGAATCTGGATTTTTGATTTGTTAACAAGAGAAACATAAAGCTTTTAATAAGTCATTCTGCTTACAAAGAATACTATTTTTTGCAAGAGCGTACCTTTTCTAAAATGTAAACTAATGATCACCACTACAAGAAATTTAAAAGCCTTTGCTCATGAAGAGACAGAGAATGTTATCAATTGCAGCTTCAAAGTACAAACCATTTATACTGATGATAAACATTGCGCTAAGTGAATAAGTCAATGTCTCAGTATTCTAAACAGTTCGATACTATTAATGTGGACATAAACACAAATGCAGGCATATCCAGATGGTAGATCCAAAAAAGATGGAAAGCATGTCATACGCTACTCTTAGCCTTTATTCAAAATATAATCAACATGAAATCTCATGGTTCAAACTTAATGTTTATCTACACAAGATACTGTTGACGATCTTTGTGTGAAATTATACAATCCCTATCACCCATAGGTAAACTATTCCACTAACAGTGAAAAAAACCCCGTATTTCACCATAAACTGCTATGCAATATTTGCTGACCAATATACTCAGGTTATACGAGAGCTGACTTGATTTCAGATAAATCCGATAGGTTTTCGATATGTATATTTTCATTGGTAATTATATATATCGAAAGCCTTATAAGTACTACAGAATATTTAATGACTAGCCAATGAATAGGGAAAAATTAATTCCAGAAATTACATAAGATATAGATTGAAATTGAATAATTGAAGTTTTATTGATCCACTGAGAATACTACCTGGCTAACATATTCTCTACCACAGCTCAACAGGTAGAGAAAGTGCAATCCCGCAAATCACATAAAAATATGCAAATATATATGACCACGAGGCAAATTCAAGATCTTTTCGTGTAGCGAAAGCATCGAAAATGATATAGAACCATTTATCTTTTTCTAAAACGATTCTTATGAAAGTTACCATAAATACTCCCTTAATTTGATAAAATCCAGAATCCCGACAGTCAGAATGAGAAAATGTTACTAAGTGTACTTGGTTACTTACGAGTAGTTAAAACGTTTTAAAAAAATACTACACGTGGATATAAAAAGGAAATGTATTTTTTATTAGCATAAAAGAAATTGTATATAATTTCAAGTAATGAGAAATACAGTCCTTGAGGAACATATTTTAAAGCCACTTTAATGTACCTAACATTTTATAATTAAGAAACAGTATCATCTTCGAATTCTGAAGTATATTTTTCGCTGATATCTTCACTAATACTACAAATATGTTCAGAATTTGACAGTCTATTTACCGATTCGTCATTAGAAATACTAGATTCATGTTCAATTTCAAGTATCGATGTAACATTAGAGGTCGTTTGGTTTTCACTACAGTTTCTATACACCACCGGAGCATCGAACTCATGGGCTATTAAATCTGATTGATGAAACAATGCAGGTGTAGACAAACCATGTGGATCATCATCACACTTATCAAATGATAAGGTTATATCAGGTGCTTCTGGAAAAAGTTCCGCTTTAATTAATTCATCGACTAATTCAGAAGCTGCACGATCAATAGTCTGATATAGTTCATCAACTGCTTCTTGAATTAAATCATTGGTAAGGTCTTCACAGACACGAATAACGGGAATATCTGGCAAGTTGTTAAAAGTTGTTGTAGGAAGTAAATAAAACCAAATGTTTTTAGCGTGTACATCTCGTCTGATTTTCGATTGCAATAACTGGCGATGTAATTTAACCGGAAGAATAAGTGGATGAAAGTGAGCAAGAGGACTGGATTTCTTATCAACGTGATTACAATCTGATTTCACCTTCGAGTAAGCTTCATTCTATAAGAAGAAATTTGAAAATATAGGTTTATAAATTACCTATTCAGGAAAATACAATATCCACTAAGTAGAGAAAGGTTAGAGATTTAGTCTAACTAATCTACTTAATGTACGATTTATTTGAAATGGTCATTCCAAATCTTGGTAGTAAAACTTACAATTCTTCAGACAGTTTATCCCAATTTTATAAAAACTATAATAAAAAACTACAATATGACCTCCAATAACCTATGTTCTGAGTTATTTATGAAAACATCTCGGATTACTGCTGAGTTGCATGGTCTATGAGACCTCAACTGGAGGACAAATAGTTGACAGTTTTATACAACTACCTCTCAAACTTTCCGGCCATGTTATAAACTAATCGCCTCTCCACTTTCCAACCAGACCTACAGTAAAACATGATATGCCATGTTAAATCCGGCCAAGTAACATTTATAAACCATGTTTATGATACTTAGATCAGTGTTTCAAGATCGTGAACTGCTTTCATCAATTTATTAAATATCAGGTACTTAATACGAAATCCCGACTAATATCGTGGATTGGTTAAGGTTAGGATACCAACTCAGTGGTCTAGAAGTTAAGAGTTCGCGCGCGTGACCGAAGGTCCTAGTTTCGTGGATGCACATTGCTGAAGGGTCTCACAATAGAACGAAACGGACGTCCAGTGCTTCCAGGTTTCCCATGGTGGTTTAACATCGATCGATTCATGATCTCAATCAAAAACAGAATAATCTCCACAACCCCATCCTGATAACATCGTGCAATCCTGAGAGTGCAATTAGTGTATGATTTCGCTTGGCAACATAATTGATAATCACATAATGAGCATATTTTTTTTAATACAGTGCATCACAAACTGTGTACATAACTTATCATTTATTAAATGTTCACATTAGTAAAACAATAAAATTGTGAATATTTTATAAACTGAAATATTCTCGTCATAAATCACTTAGCTTTATGTGTTGTACTGGAGAAATAAAAAGACTAAATTTACAATATTCTCCCTTTGTTCCACCTATAATCATAAAACATTGAAACTATTGAACAAAACTTAAGCTTTATTTAAAATATTATAAAGTTATACTTAATTAAAATGTAATTTTCAAATAACTTAGATATTTAAAAAATAAGCTGACAATCAAACAAAATTAAATCACATAATATTTTCAATCAAAGTTAAACATCATCAATAAGAAAAAAACAGCTTCTATTAGTTGTCATGACACCAAAAGTAAATAAATAAGTCATATCATACTGAAGATTGATTTGTTTTCATTAAAATAAATTCTAAAATTAAGAAAAATAAATTTTTTTAAAAAAAAGCAAACTTAAATGTATTAGCAACGTTTTACCAAAAAAATTCCAAACCAATGTGTAGAACAGAAAAAAAAAATTTTGTTGTTGTTGTCGTCGTGATAAATTCGAAATTGATACGAAACACTATGTGATAAATTTGAAAATAATTTCTAAGTGCAGTAAAAAACCGTTTTTTCTTCATACACATAGTTCTCTTTATTATCTTAAAGAGAGCAAGAACAAAGATTGGTGCAGAATAATATGAATTCATTTTATTTCATTAGGTTCTCATCAGCTGCTTACAACCTAAAATATTTAAAATTCAACATTATTACAGATGTTAACATATTTGTACAATAAGAAGGTGATTAAGGATAAATAAATGTATCATGGTGTAGCGAAGATTCCGATAGAGTTAATGAAGTCATAAAATTTTGTCTCGAATAAATAGAGTTTGAGAGGGAAATTCCGGAACATTGAAATAGTGTATAGAACTCATGAAAATAGATTAATGGTAATAAAGAAAATATGAATTGAAACCAGTCAGTTATGTTTTTTTGTTTTTATTCTCAATAAAAATAATCATTTAAATAAACAAAATTAATTATCATAATTAATAATTTTATTGAAATAAAGAATGATCATTGAAAAAGTATATTTCTATCATGAATAGTAGGTAAAAATTAAAATATAAAGTACATATTTTTTATTAAAAAAAGAAAATAATAAGTAAACAAATTCTATTTCCAATATGGGATATGTCCCCGTATCCGAGTTAAAATCGAACGCTGGCTACGGGAACATATCCCAGTTTGGTTTCATAAAAGTGAAAGGAAAACAGTTAGGAGTTCTATACTTGAACACCTAATCGACTAAAAATCCTATTTCACTAATTATTAGTGCAATTTAAAAAAAACACATGTTAATATATAGATTCTAATGGTACAAATGAACTGATTAATTGATTTTATCAATTCAATAAACAATTATGAAATATTTATTCTTATCCAGATTGATATTCAATGTTAATTTGTATAAATTGAATTAAATCGTTCAATTATATATAATTTTTATTAGTAGTATTTTACAATGATCATTTTAAGAAAAATACACAATGTCTATTATTATTATTATTATTATTATTAGTAGTAGTAGTAGTAGTAGTAGTAGTAGTAGTAGTAGTAGTAGTGGTAGTAGTAGTAGTAGTAAAACCATAATGATATAAACAATGTAACAAGAACAAAAGAGAAAACAATAAACTGAAACTTGGAAATTACAAGAGTAAAAGTATTATAAAGCAAATTATATTTCAATAATCAAACACTAATTCTTATACAATTAGTTAATTACTATGGTAACATATTAAATAGTAATCACTTAATATGAAAATAATAATAATAAATTGTAAATACATAAATATATTATGAATAATGAGGAGATAGAAAGAAAATTATTCACTTTTACATTTTACATAAATTTAAACATTGTATATTATATGTGGATAATATTTGTACATACTCCGAATGTAGATAGGATAATTAGGAATCTGAAGATGAAACAAAGTAAGAAAATAATTTGTTTTTAAAAATGTTGGTTGGTTTCACACTTTAATTTTTAAAAAAACTTGAAAAACTTTAATGAAAAATAAAAGAAAAGAGATGGTAAGAAAGAAGTTAAAAGAATATATTGAGGGTAAATATTTCAAGATTGTTCTTCTTAAGTTTGAATACAAAATAAAGTATTGATTGATGATAATATTCTTTTCCGTTTTAAAGATCTTTCATGAAGAAACTTAAAGATTTTATATAAATGATTCAGATATTAAATAACTGTTAAGCAGTTTTAGTTTATAGTAATTTTTTAGTTCAACACAATGATTGATGTAACCGTGGTTAATTGGTTGGTGAGTGGATGAATCTTCATCGATTCATGTGATAGAGAAATGTATTATGTATGCATAACCAGCACCTATCTCGACATGTGATGTTTGCCGGCTAGATGAAAACTAGGTATGAGGAAGACAAAATATATCATGGATTCAACGATTGTTAGACAGTCCATATAGGAAGGTGTGGACTACCAGTTTTAGGTTCACAGGTTTATTGTAACCAACAATTAGAGACGCTGAATGACACAGCTTAGATGCAATCACTCTTTCTTTACCTTTAGATCTTGTGTTCTAAAACTATTAACACTACATTTGGTCTTCCTGAATCACAATGTTTATGTCTAATGATTCCTACTATTTCTGACACTACTGTTGTAGTGAATGAAGACTTGGTGACGAAAATCAATCTAATGCGTAATGCAAAACTACATAAAGCCTTCATAAAATATGAAAACCATACACTAAATACATTATTTGCACATCTTACACATGCTTCATGATTCTTCCGATTCTGTTGTTATTACAGTTGCTCTATATCTTCCTTCCTGTTTCCTATAACCCAGTCTTCTGCTGGCAGGCACTCTACTTTCGACTGGTGATGCATACTTATATCTGCCAGCATAAGTGGCATATACCACAATAATATTTCTAAAACTCCATCTTGTTGTGGTAACTTGAACTAAGGCAAATATATTCTATGTTGCCTACAACTAACTGATTGATTAAAGTAATTAGTAGTAATATATCTCATTCTTCAAGTACAAGTTTATATGTTTAACAGTTGTTAGGCAACGTTCATTTATTGATAACCCTTATGACATGAAACCTAAAAATTTTACTATATGGTTGTACCGATTTTTACAAAAAAGTTATACAGTAAAAAAACTTTTCACATCTTGCTGAAGAATATTAGTTACTTTTTGAGGCCCAGTATCTGACTGAGGTGTGAACGTACGAATGATGTTATCAAAATACACATCCCGACTACCTTCATACATAATTATCAATTTAATCAACCTTAAAGAATAACGGGATAAGTCAAATACGATAACGTATTTTGAATACGTATGTTTCGTACACTAGCTGAGCCGGACAGACAACCAAAGGAACAAAATGGAGAAGGCGAAGGGAGAACGAGGCAGAGAATGTCGTCGGAAATATGGGAAACGAAGAGACGGGGAGAAGAGAAGGTGAGGGAGGCAACTCAATCTCATCAAGCGCGACTCAATATTCATAGTCAAGCAAAGATAAGCTAGAGACACGTAATGAATAGGGTAAGCAATTAACAAACATACACTCATTTATAAACAGTCATGGTTAATAAGCGAATAATTAGCAAAGTCAAAATGTGACATGAAAAGAGTCAATAAATCAGTCTGTCCGGAGGTTACGATAACCTGTGCGGGCTTGACATAAGACTAGACACTACAATTTAGTACATGGAAAAAATAATCATAAGAAAAACTAACAAATACTTTGAAATCCCGATTATCCTTGTTTCAAACTTTTTTATACAATTGTAATTAGAATAATATTCTAGCCTAATGAATTATCTCATAATACATGAAATGATATGGAATAATTCGTGAGACTATAATCTATGGACGACCTTTGAGCGACGCCCTAGTGACCGTGAGAACGTCTATCTACTTATTAGGGCTAAACAAAGGTTACAAAACAGTTTGATGAATAAGGATTATGGTTTAAAACAGATTGTTACGGTTAGGAATTAAGTTCATTGTTTTCATCACGAACTGACATAAGCTAAAATGTCAAAACTCTATTTAGACAAATGGGTGAATGAATTTCGTGCAAATATCAAATACCTGTTATCCTAAATCTGATTAGTTAGTCCATAAATTATAGTCTTGCAGAATAATTTAGTATTTGTCTTGTTGACAAAACATAATATTAGACCTAGTATGGAGGTACATTACTCTACAAAGAAATATTTTACATTGAAAATATACTAAGTAAATGATATTTAAATAACATTGAGAGTTGATCACACAATGGAATTTGTAAATCAACACAATTGTGACAAACAAGACTTAGTCAAGAGTGAGTACGAAATTACTTAACATGTATAGATATGGAATAAATAATTGTATAGTCTATTAATACAACATTTCGAAGAAATATTTAGAAGCTATTATTCATTAGTTTATATCATGTTTGAAAGTGAAAAGAAATCTTAACTATAATTGGATTTGAACTGACAGACTGTGGATAGGGAATTGAGTGTTCTATCGACTAATGAGTTATAAGACTTGACATTGGAGTGGATGTCACTTTGACCCTGGACCCTCAGCATGCATGAATTAAATATAAATATTCATTTTCTAAGTGTAAATAAAAATAGAAAGCTTATTTATTTAAGCATTTCAAACTGAGTAATTTATAAATAGAACACATGTACTACTTCATGTATTATCTTCGTGTTACGCAACGTGCGTAAGTTATGCAATGATCTATCTTTTGACAGGTTAATTTGACGTCGAATAGAAATTAAATAAAAATTTGACTTTATTTTTAACATCTCGATTTAGGTGTAAGGTAGTTGAAGAGAATCGGATGGAAGCCCTGTTAGATCTAGGTTTCATACTAATTAGTACTAATCAACAGATTGAGTATACAATCTTCGTGGAAATGATGCTTCTCATGAAATTTTATATCACATCCCACGGTAGTCAAGGATGATACCGTTGAACTATTCGGGTTGCGACTAATCTCCAGTAGGATTGAGATTTTTTAAACTGATTGGTAACTAAGTAGTATCAAATTTCATAGATCTCCAGTTCTTAGTGCTGATCAAGCTATCAAGTTGGACTTTGGAGACTAGTTTTTGAGTGATTGTAACAGTGAATGCCACGGTTTTGAATTCCGCAGGCAGCATCAGTTCCATCAATGTTACAAGTACGCCTCACTGACAATTACCAAATAGCCCGGGGTCTACACCTCAAAGCTTCCCTCTGATTGCTTTCAACCAAAGAACATCAAAACATAGAAGACAGGGTACCAAATCGCTAGTGATCACATTCAAACATAATCGATAGAATTCGATTAGTATCAAGGACTAAATACGTGTTATTCGTTAATATTCAGTGATCAATCAGTGTAAATAATCACATTCTGGATCAGATCTATGATAAAATTGAATTTCAATTCAAAATAATCAAACAATTACTTTTGGAAATTGAAACGTTGAAGTATCAGGCCGGATAATTGACTTGTCATTTTGTTGAAATTGTGATCTTCCGAGGAATGGAATAAAAAACACATCAGAAAGCACAATTTAGTACTTATTAAAATTAACAGTGAAAAATAATAGCTGAGGTTATTTGCAACGTTCTGATGTTCGCGAATTACGTCGTAGCCAGCATTCTTAGTCATATTCTCATTCATTTAGTAGGTGGGTACTGCATACGGCAATTCCTCAGCTATATCAGGCTGTGCTACTACACTGGACACACAAAAAGTTGCAGATAACTTCACCTGCAATAATCCATTCGAATCGTTTAATTGAATAAACTATGGGAAATGTTTAAATTCTCCAAAAACCACTTATTTACTCACCATTTTATTATTTTGTTTTACGAAAATTCAAGTTCTCGTTTAAGATACTCACCACTAGAGCCATTCTTCACATTAATGTGAACAAATAACCCGTCTTACCTATTCGTTCGTTGCTTTTTTAATATGCCAATTCTTCACGTTACTTCCAAGGACATTGCGAATTTATTGGTAGTCAGTAGTTTCAACTCTCAAGTACTGGTTTTTATTTTGAGTACATCTGTGGATGAACAGTTTATATATATGATTATTGGTCACTGTGTCATCCATCTAAATATTATTTTCTACATCCGGGATTAGAAAAAGTTCAGTATTGTTCACTTGCACATTACATGTATGATAACAGTCTAATATATGAACATCAATATGGACATACAGTAAAACCATCTCACCAAAAACACTAATTAACAACATAGTTCAAGAAAAACAAGCCAAGAAATTTTAGTAAAACTAATCACTGAAATCAACAAAGAACGGCATCATTGACTTTTTCAAAGTTTGGCCTCAAATAAACCTCTCGTGTATATAATACTGGAAAGAGTGAATAGTAGTCATATATTACCCTTACCAATTCATAGATCTGGTTAGCCAAACGAGTGATATAAATGTCCAACTCTGTCAAATATGCCACAGATTATAAATCATGCTATTACCTGTGTGGTTTTCAATAAAAACTATGTCAACATGGCAGCTGATTGATTGAGGAAATATTCAGTTGGGAGAAATATTGATTCGAACAGTAAGATTTATAAATAATTCGAGAATTATTCGTTTAACCTTAGTAATATTTACCCTTAATTTCCTCTACATGCTTTACTAAATAAAGAAAATATTGAAAATATTTTACACCTTGCAAATAACTCACTTGATAAATGTTTTCAACAGTAAAGTAGTACAGATATACATACATATCGTCGATTATTTTGCAGTTAATGGACATAAATAATGGGTAATCATTAACCTCCTTTCAATTATAACGCTCAATTTATCATTTCCTAGGCAAATTAAACTTAATGAGAAATAGTTTCATGTAGATCAGTAATTAATTATAGTTTGATATACTTACTAAGTTTTTAGTTCTAATTTAATAAGAGCTTGAAGTATTACAAAGCTAGGTAAACGAAGTAGATCAAGTGAAGTTTGAATTTGAGATGTATTATTGAATGAAAGTAGAGTGTTTAAACTAATGAACTGAATTTTTACATTATTCTTCATTTAAGGGTATATATATATATAAAACTTACAATGAAAGCACATCTGATTTATAATTTTTGAATACTGAATCATCTTTCTTGGTAAGAGGAAAATTATTCAGCAATCTTCTGTCATCATGAATATAAGTTAATTTATTAGCCCATCGCTGACGAATAGCATTCTCTTCTAATTCAGCTTCATCAATTTGTTTTAAAAGTTCTTGAGCAGCAGAACAAAGTACGCGACAATCATCAAGATCTATGTAATATGAGTATACATAATAATAGGTATTTTATAAAAATACAAGTCAATCATAAGATATGTGCTATTTTTGAAAAGCAACAAGGTAACTATTTTCAACTATACTATTATTAGTATCTAACCTATGACCAAAATTTATAGAGAAGATTTGTAGCCCAGGTGGATAGTTTTGTTGGAGTTTTATCCACTGACCTAAATGATTAGGATGTGGAGCTTTCATTGTTCTTCTGGACAACATTATCGGTACATACCTCAAGTAGAAGTAACTTAATGATATGTATAAATGTCATGAATGTCGCCACGATGGCAGTAATTTTTGACACAATAAATGAAAAAAGATCTAAAGAGATCCGTCTGAAGACTAGTATTAGGTGTTATTGGGCTCTATGGTAACGATCTGACTCCATGACATTGTCGAAGGAACGAACCGTGAACACAAATTCTCTGTTTGGTCCCGTATATTTTACTTAAGCTAACCCCGTTTAGGTGATGGCAGTAATAAAAAGCTGAATACGAATTAGGCTGGAAGAATTGATTTCAAGCACTCTTTTATCCAGAAAAACGATAGGAAATGTGAAGCCCAGATGACAAACGTGGCTGCTCGATTCGGTTAAAATATGATTCAACATTTGTAGGTATGATAGATACAAGAAAGTGTGTAGATACATACTATCATGCGCACATCTTAAGGTCACATGTGTAAATGACAAAACGAGTGGAACGACTAAAGTAGTTCATCTATCCAAAAATTAGGATTAATCGTATAGTGGTGTAACAATACTAAACGCTACAGTTCTCTGAAGTGGATGGTTTATTTACTGAGCTTTCATTGTTATTCTGGAAAGCCAAAGCTTATGTTTAGTGTTTGAAGGTATTCAGAAGGAAACTGTGGACCTAAGTATTGTCCTAGTTGGCATACAGCAGCAAAGCTTACTCGCGACTTATAGGATTCGGAACCACATAGCCTAGCTTTATGACGGTATCAACTAGAAGATAAGCTGGATCCACGGTTTCTTGCCGACAAATTCCAACCCTTAAACATCCCAACATAGTGAATGTGATGTCTAGACACTTTAACTTGTGGCTGTATTAGAATTTGATTGATAGGATTCATCCAGTATCAAAGGATTAGACAAAAATTTCATTGGTCACTGCTCACTGATCAATCAATTATAAAATATGACTGTGTATCAAGTTCAAGTTTAGTTTTAATTTAGTTCATCGAAAATCTCTTACTAACTACAGGTTTGTAAACTCAGCCTTGAACTATACTGTTTGAGGGGATGACGAGGTTTGTAATATTATTTGGCTGAGTAAAACAAAGTAGATGGAGCCGATTGTCTGCTAACCTTCAACCTATTAGCTGAAAGTTTTAAATAAAAGTTTATAGTTTTGGAAATTCAATTGAATTGAAAATTGATTGAAGAGCTACTAAAGATGGTTAAGGACTAAACGGCTACTTCATCATAATTCTAAGACTCAACGATAATAAATACATTTGACCTCTCAAGCAGTAGAACCCAAAACAAACATTAAAATCGTTCCGTGTTAATAAGTCACAAACAAAAGTTAAAGCACTTTTTTAAGGAACAATTTCTGAAAAAACAATACTGTGATTAAAATTAATAGGTTTGAGTATGCTAATGAGAATACATATATTTACATAGGAAATGAATTACTTGATTTTATCGCGTTGATGGTAAGCTGGTTAGATGAGTTCTGAATGTGTTGGTCATCAGTAATTGTACACAAGGATTTCACTGGACTCTGGTTCTGATTGGTAAAAAATGGTTTAGTAAATAGAAACAGAAAACAGGGTTAAAAATTGGGTAACTATGTGCCATGACAAAAAATTATTGTGCCGAAATAGCATATCCGATTAAGACACTGCTTAGCCCCTTATTTCAGATTGGAATCAGAGATATTTTAAATAATCCGCTTACAACAAACTCATATTCTATATCGCGTACTCTTATTTATTAATAAACCCCCATTGGTCAACGTATGAATCTTGTTCTATATATTTTTTTCAGTTAAAATAAACATTTCCAAACAAAAACAAATAATTTCTCATCAGGTTCTACAATTATAAATCCAGATTAATAATCCATAAAATTGGCCAGATTTAATTATTATGGATTTATTATTATGGATTATTAATCTGGATTTATAATTGTAGAACCTGATGAGAAATTATTGAAAAGAATATTCTTCGTTCATACAATTGTGTTTTTAATATAATGGGAATTTTTCATCAAAAACAAATAAACTTAAATTTAATAACGAGCATTCTTACCAAACACAGTATGCAGCCCAAACTTTAAATGAATAAATATAGTTCGAAAGATAAATGTATAAAAGCGGGTTTTTATTACCTTTAGATATTCTCCAGGTTGACAAGTAACAGCACTAGATCCATCTAAGTTCAGTGAATTAATAGCCTGCTCCCAAAGTGAAGATACTTTTGAATCATAATGATCTCTAGCATTGGTTGAAATGGACGTTGGAGACATTGGATAATTATCATGAGTTAAGTTGACACCATTAAATGAATGAGATTTTATTATTTTGCTAGAATTTCGTGTATTCGATCTACAAACTAAGTGAGAACGTAAAACTGATGATTTTGGACGTATAATAGATGAGATTAATGATTTTGAATGATTTGCAGGGATTTTTAAAAGTGACTTCTTCTGTACTTTACAAGTTGATCCTAATTCTTGAGATTGAGCTTTATTTGACAAACACTTTGCCCGAAGTTCTTCTAATGCATCTGAATATTGAGATAACTTGGCTTGTAGTTGACGTATCCTAGATTCCTAAGTATTTTAAATAATAAAATCCAAGAATTACAGCAACAATAGTAAATATTATTACATTAAAAAGATAGAAAAAAAGGGAATACTATCCAGATCATTTAACCACAAAAAAATTTCTGAAAAAGATTTTTTTTATAGGTCAGCAATAGACTTGGTCAACGAAATAGAAATTTTTAAGAGTCGAATGACCGGTTTTACATATTCTTTGATTTCATTCATCATGGTTTATTTAAGCACTATGATACCGCTAGAGTACTCAAGCCAACAGAGGTGTTTTTTCAGAAGGCCAACATCTACAATCTGTTTAGTGTAGAATGTAGTTGAGGAGTGACAAAAGACGTATTCCCAGAGTAGCTAGTGACTATGCACTAATCTTTCTTTCAGAATACTGGGGTTTAAAAGCAGCACTTTGAAAATCAAGGTCTTAAAACTGATCAAAATAGACTTTCTGAACTATCAACCCGAAATCGGTCTTTTTATTTTGCGAAAATGTCTCAGCTAGGCAAATGTGATAAGCAGAACTCCTCTGAAGGAAAACTCTATACAAAGACATTCAGGTAGAATGATAGCATACAACGGCATCTGTCGACTGATCCAAACCAGTAACAAGGTTATATAGGGTTGTACGATATTGTCCTTCGTTTGTACCTTTGGTGACATTTACAAATATCATGAGTGTCATTCCAACAGCCACCATACTAGCAGTATCTTTTGACACTAAGGACAAACGAAGAAAGTATTAAGATGCGACATTGTACTACCAAGAATATTTGTGCTAGCTTATTATCACTTCTTTATGGGAATTCTAGATAATATATAACATAGTGACCTGAACAACTTATCAAACATGGTTCAAAATTAAATAAAGAGATAATCATACAGTAGATTATTACTTTGAGAAAAATAGAATTCCTTTTAGTTTTGCTCTTATTTGAGCTATCTTCTTTTTATATTGTTGTCGTAATTTTCTCCTTTTATTTTTTTACCGAAACTGTTTATATGAAGTATATCTTAGGTCCTTTTGTGGCTCACTCTTATGTCAGGATAAACAATTAGTAAGAAATAAACAAGGTTTTACTGACTTAATTAACATTAAAAAACGAATAGCCATTGTGGTTTAATCAATCCAACCATAAAATTCACCTATCCAAGTACGACGCTGAGGAGGCCAATACGTAAGCAATAAAACTACCATCTGATTAGCAGATAAACTCTAATTTACCTAAATAAAAATATTGGTTGTGTAGCGTTATTAGATTTCTGCAATGTTAAAGTAAAGCAACGGAGTAATATTCACTATTTAGTTATATTTCAACAGTATATTATTTAAGAAAAGAACGCTCAGTAACTTGGACACAAAAATTAACATTTATTTAACTAAGTGCTCATATTTTTTTCATTTTCCGTTCAAAACTACAACTTAAAAAACATTTTTTTGTATTTTGGCTAATTAATATTGACCACTAAGTTAGAGCTGTTCTGAAAACAATTGTTGCAATGTAGTAACTACTAAAAAGCTTTTCCGCCGATAACTGCAGTATAAAGTTAGGGAATATACCTGTGAATTTCTGAGCTGCTTTTCAGTTGGTTCATGAAGAGCACGTTTACGATTCGGAGTCCAGGTATCTGTATCCCGTATTGGAGGAGAATCACTACAAGCTGGTGCCTTGTCGTCAAATGTTTGATAATGCGCATTAGTTGCAAGTTTGCGTGTAGTCTGATAGAAGTCATTTCTTGAGGGAAGTATTCTAGGTTTACTCAAAATTGATTTATACTTCTGATCAGTACTTTTAATAACCTAGTCAAAACAACAGCATTAAAATTTTAAGAAAATTTAATCCTCAAAAATATATACTATAGTTGACGGTTAGGTACCAGTAATAAACTGAGTGTTATTCACTCTAGTAAAAATGTCATATTATTAGAACAGATGATATACACATGGACTTTGACAATACACATCTGTACTTATCAATTCTTATACTGCTTTTTATCGACAGGTCAACAGATAGTCTAACTTTTCGGTCGTCTTTTTCAACAATCGTGCAACCTTAAATGCACAATACTAGCAAGATACTTCAACTGAGCCTACCCAAGAATGAATGCTTATTTATGCAACCACTCTAGTTAAGATTTGAGAAACATTATTCAATATTCCAGAATATTTGTAATAAAAATGGTTTACACTATCTCTGACTATTTTATGGGGGAACGTTTGAATTTAATCTAGAGAGGACTACTAAAAGACGTCAACTAAGAATCGAACATGCAAGGACATGACATTTAAACTGATTTCAAAAGGTTGACTTGCAGAAAAATAAACTTGGAAGGTGATATGTTAAATAATTGCGAGGAACACGACAAGAACCCTTAGTCTAAGCTTCATACTTCTCAACACTTAACAAGATGCAATATTTTGTTTATTCTTTAGTGCTAATCAAATTCTTTCGGTCATTTTTTAGTACAGCCTCTAAGTTATAAATACTTACCTCTGATGAACGTAAAGATGAATCCTGGATAAAAGATTTCTTATTAATTGTCTCTGATAGTAAATGAAAATTAGTGGGATATCGGGTCACCTAGTTTGAGTAACACACTTGAAACTAAGTCGATGCAACTCTATCAGAACTAAAACAAAACAAGATAACATATATTATTATTTAGTGATTGATGAATACAGTACGTGATTGAGTCAATATATATGCTACACTCCATTATACTTCAGGCTACAATCAAGAAAATTTATTCATATATGAAGATTATGAATCAGAAAATGGTTTCTTTAATTGAGAATTACTTGAGTTGGTTTTTGGACAGGACGATTGTCAACTGAAGACAAAAGGGAACTGTTGTTAAAATTTTGAGCTGTTTCAAGAATGTATTCATCGTCTTCAATTTTACTAGATGATAAGCATCTAGCATCCCGTTTTGCTATTTGAACAGCCAAAAGTAACCGATCACGATCAATATACTGAAACCCACCAGATTCCTTCATTTCTAACGACACATTATTCTGGGATTTTTGTGAAGTAAAAATATAAATAGTAAAGATGAGCTGAGTATTAAGCAACAAGCCAGTTATTAACACTTAGAATGCAGTCAGGAATTTCGATAGAAAAATCACTTGAAGTAGAAATCGGTTTCTAAAACAAATTAAACAATCTTAAAAGAAATACCGGAACATGAAAAATCCTTTATTTTTTGTTGTTGGATAGTGTTAAGAATAATTAGTGTGGTATATAAATGCTTTTTCTCAGATTATTCTCAGTTAAAATTTCCATGAGCTTGATTAGTGCGAAAAATATAAATAACTGTTGTGAAAACACTAAGAAAAATCAGCCATCAAGCAAAAATTACCAACCTATTCCATGTTAAAATGTTTCGTATAACTTATATCTATTATACTTAATGGAACAATATTGATCATTCAATTATAAATATATACATTAGGAGTTAAACGGGTTCATTATTATTGTTGTTACTACTCCTACTGCTACTACCAAGTTGCATGAGCAACTGTTTTAAAGTCACTGGATGGTACAAAATCGTTCTTTAGGGATTGGTAATTTCATTGACCAAAAGTTGAGACATCTCGTGCTCTCAAAGTCAGTTTGGTGGTTTATTCTGACGTTGTTCTTTACATAAAAACAGGAAGTACAAAGTTTATCATATCAACTTCTAGATAAATTGATATTGATCTAAAGCAGATAAATCAAAGCTGTATACTCACTGACTTAATACCTACCCTACAATACCTTATCTTAAAAAAACTGAGATGATTTTGATGAAAATCTTCGTCAATATCAATAATTCTTGAGTTTTATGATCATTTGGGAACTCAGAACTGCCAGAATATATGCTAATAGAGTCTAATCAAATAGATTCAACATGTGAAATACCAATACTACCTTATACTCATATTTTTACCGTGCAAAATCAATACCTTTTTTATTATCCTGCTCACAAACACTAAATTATAGCTTAGAATAATAATTTATAACTAAGATACATGCAAATCTACTAGCAGAGCTCCTTACAATCCATGAAGAGGTGCAGACATACAATGTTACATAGGTGAAACATAAAACCATAATAATTATGATAGTAACTCATTATACAGTACATAAGAAACATCCAACGAGAGTGAATCCCTTGAAATGACAGATTGTTGCAAATGATCACTCAAGTTCCACATAATATGGTTATTATTTAAGAGGAAACACTTTATACTAGAATGTCTGTTCATATTACGTGGTCTAAACACGTCCATAAAATATCCCGAACTATAAAATGTAAATACTAGTAGCCAGAGTGAAATTAATAATAAAACTTAAATTTAAAATAAGTTCATGAAAATAGAAGTTAAACAATACAGATAGCAATCGAAAACCAAAACACGACTAAGATCATCAGATTTATCATTGATAGCAGACAATAAGCGTGCTTCAAAAATTAACACAAGTAACAAAACTAGTATATTTACAAATTGTATTGGTTAACAACTTTGGATACAGATTATAAGAGCTACAAAATCATCCTAAAAGTCTCATTAATCAGTTATTATATAGAAAAACAGCCCCAGGTAAAATATCCGCACCTGCTTTTTGCAATTCTTGAGCTAAATTGTATTTGACGCCTTCATATTCTGTTTTCAGTTTATCTACCATTAACTTTAATTTAGCACATTCATCTTCCAAAGTGAAGTTTAGACCAAATTTATCTTCCTTTTCCAAAGGTTCTTTTTCATCATTTACAATATTATACCGAAAATTATATGGCATTAATCCAGTATCAGTGGGAAGATTTGCACACATTACAAGATCTGTGAGAATGAGCAATTCTTTGTGTATACATGACAAAATATCCTCAGTAGAATTAAAACTCTCATTCAGTATAAGATTTTTACACAGACTTGACTTAGCATCATCCAAAAGATGAGAGTATTCGACATTAAAATGACTCATAGAGCTACACAGTCTTGTAACAAGTTCAATAAAATCACAAGCACAGTCAGATACCCACTTATTTGGAAGAGTTTCAGCCAAATTATTTTTATGAACAATTAAAATACTACGAATCCATTGCCAAAATCTATGGTTTACATCTCTCCAGGACAATAATAAATGTAATTTTGAAACACTCTTCTGTACGTTGTGAATATGCTGACGGAGAGCATTTGAATCTAGAAGGATCCAATAGTGAGAGGGTGGGAGCAATTTCGGCCTTTCTATAGATAATTTAAGAAAGTCTCTCATAGTTTCACCTTTCAAGTGGTACAATTTTTTCAGATGAATGCGCAAACGACCAAGCAGCCAAATGAGTCGAGGTATAGACACATTACTTCCTGGACAAGTGATCTGTTCATTTTGATGAACGAAAACTTTCTTTGTCATTCCGATCGCAGTAGAAATCAAAATTTGTTCAACTTTTGGTAGGACATCAAAAGAAACTAGGATCCATATAGATCCCAGAAGCAATTGCCTTGATGTGAAGTTCTCATCAACATTCTTGCGTATTAAAGGAAATCCATATGTCAACAAACTTTGAAATATAAACCGATGGATTTCATTGTCCGAAAATTTTTCGAAACCCTCAGAACACAATTCATCCACACACCCATATTTGATAAAATATATAAGTTCAAATACAAGCCGCTTGATCGGATGTAATGCACGTATGTCATCAAACTTAGCCAACCGGACACTTTCTGCTTCCAGTTCTGAGAATCCAACAGAATTCAGGAGATTAATAAAAATTTTAATGCAATATTTTATGTCGACTAGGCCGCTCATTAGAAACTGGTGTCTATGACAACATTCCAATATCCAATATCTGTGTGATATGCTTGTATAAATCAACTGATTTCTTTGCGCTCGCTTCCTGATTTTGCGGTACGTTTTCAGGTCACTGACATCGTCCAATTTGGATAATCTTCCCACTCGGTTGTGCTAAGCCTATTGGGTGTGATGGTTAGTCAGAGGTTAATATTTTTTGGATATAAGTGATTGTCCTTGATCTTTGGTAAAGGGATTGAAATGACCAGGAGTGGTCACATCATCAGGGAGGAAATTAATTTTTCTCAGTATGAAGGGTTATAGTTCAGAGTGTAGAGAAAGAGAGAGAAGATAATGTTAATGAATAGTAATTAAAACTCTTATACAAAGAATGTGAACAAAAGAGATGGGCTAATGATAGCAGCAGTAATGATAGAAACTTTGGTGGCAGTGATACTGGCAATGATAATAGAACTAGTAGCTGTGGTAGTGAAAAGGCAAAAGACATGCGTCGATCACAGCAATTCCAAACGAAAAACGGTAAGACATGAACGCGTACATGGATATTAAGTTTCCTCATAAAGTCATCTATCCAAGGAGCTATGGTCACGTTGATTGAGAGGGCGTTTCAGACAGAGTTGATCCTTAATGGAGAGAGATGTGATTTTATCAGGGTGCTGGATTTCATGTTTTATTGGTCGTGGATTGCCTCGCGAGGTGCAGTAGTGAGGCTCGGGTGTGATGTTTTTATTCAGATAACCAGGCGTTTTTAGTATGCAGTGAGCCACTAGCAAGTTGTCTTATTCTCTCCTTTGGCTTGGCGAAAACAATCCTTGATGGTGTAACAGGCTTCACAGAGTTTATACCTTAATCTTATGACACCTTTGTGGCGCGTTCCACAAAAGTCACTGTTGGGCAGAATACAAACGAACTGATAACAACGGCGCGTACTGGCAACACAAACATATGAGGAACATATGCACAAAGGCTATAAGCGAAGACAGGCTTTAGTGACAGATAAAGTTTGTGGATAAATTTGTCTCCGACCCGAAAACTTTATTCCATTATTCAGCCTCTCTTCATCAAGCCAAAACTGGAGTTTCCCAACTGCTAGGTCCTAACGGCCCGACCAATAACGACGGCGGCGCCGCTAACCTTTTCACTGAACAATACTCCCGGACATTTCAAACGACACACATCAACTATACTGATGACAGCTTTATCTGCAGCTGCGAAGAACTTTCCGTAGTGAGCCTGAGCGCTGAAATTGCAGCACTTAAGAAAAGACACTCCTCCTGGCACAGATATGGTCCATTCTGCTATAATGAGGGAAGCAGCCTCATTCCTGGCAGCACCGCTTAGCGTGATATTCTCACACTTGCTAAGCCGAAGAAAACTACCGGAAAATTGGGAGCTGGCTCACATCACACCAATTTTCAAAGGAGGTCGACGCAGCGAACCTTCAAGTTACCGACCGGCGGCTCTTCTCTCTATACCTTCAAAAATCATGGAGTACCTGATATGCGATGGTTTATATGACTATTTACTGTCTTTAAATTTCTTCTCACCCCAGCAGCATGGTTTCAGGAAGGGTCGTTCTTATATAACCAACCTGCTGACTGAGGTGGACAGATGGACAACCATCCGTGTTCGTAGGGGAAAGGTTGATATCATCTACCTTGATTTTTCAAAACCTTTTGATAGGGTTGACCATATATGTCTTATCAATAAGCTCAATCGATTGGCTATCAACTCACCTCTAACTGATGGGCTCACTTGATACCTAAGAATTTGACATTTTAAGGTCAATGTTAACTTCTTTTTCTCTCAGGCTATGGAATGTCCTAGTGGGGTCCCCTAGGGTTCAGTAATAATAATACTAATAATAATAATAATTTATTCTCAAATAACAGTTTGTTACATGAGGCATGCCAGTTTACAGGCAAGATCAAATTGATACAAATGATACAATATACACTGTATTAAATTAAATAGCTGGGTTGAAAATTTATAAGACGTGAATGTAGATTGTTTTAATCAGTACTACAGTTGGCGCGCTTCACGGAGTTGCGTTGCGAATGTGCGACTGATGGTCAAGGATAGGTTTATTGAAGGTATGAGCTTCTAGAAATCGCAACCTTATGTCCCTTTGGGATATCCAAGGCTTTAAGGATGGTGCAGGATGAAGTAACCTGTTCCATATCTCAAGGGGGCTGAAAGAGGGAACAAGTAAAAGAAAACACGAGAGGCAGAGTAGCCAATATTCATGTAGGAATGTTTAAGGCATGATTACTCAGTCTAATTTTCTTTTATTAAGGCATTTGTTAAGAAAGAGCACTTTAATAGGTTAAAGAGAATAAGCTTTAGCAAGGTGTGAGTGGACATACAACTGACAAATGGAGGCGATTCGGAGAAGAGCTGAGAGTATAAGATTATGTGTGATTATAAAATAAAATATAGTGCTAGAAACAGTATTGTGATATACAACTGGCTATCTTCCTTTTATTATCGAAGCTATTAGAGCCCATTTCGTTTTTTTTTGTTCTTTTTCAGGTATTATAGGGTCTTGAGTGGGCTTCGTATATTAGCGAATTGTCTAGTTTGCTTGTAATAGGATTACTGGGTAGGAAGTGAAACCAATTCAACGTTCGTAACACTATTTAAAGAGGTATTTTGCGTGATAAATCAGCTTCAATACCATAAGTCCGTGACATCCCACTAAACCATAAGGAGCCGTAATTAAACAAAATGTTCTGCCCTACAGACATGGGTGGATTGAAGTTATCTCCCCACCTTCATGTTTGCTGGTCAGTAACGCCACCCTCCCTCCTTTTGTGATGTTAGGCTCTCTTACGTTTGTGGTAAGTATGATTAATGCTTTAATCAAAGCACATAGTTGGAATACACTGTCTCTACTAGGTCCATGTTACAAGCAAATCAGATATTTAAAAATTCTGTTTTATGGGTTAGATGTCCACATAGTATATCACACTGCTATGAAAATAACTAATGGTTTAAAGAAGTAAGGATTAATAGTAAATCAAAAGATATGAGAGGGTATAAAATTGTAGAAAAAAAAAGAAAAAGATTTTAGGGTGAGAAAAATAAAACATTGAGAAACTCACAAGACTTTGTGGCCAGATTTTGAGCTTTGAATGATCGGCCTTAGTAGATCAGCATCCATAAGATTGAGCTATCTGTCTACTTGCAGTAGAAAAAAAAGCATGAATTTTAGGAAGAATAATGTACATTTAACCTGTAGAGATTTGGGGACTGAAAGCTAGGGTTAGGGGCATGAAATCATGATTAATAAACAATGAATAATAGGAAAGGATAAGCCATATATCCTGTGATTTGGTTATATTCAGATTAGTAACAGTCGAACTTGTTATAATTTTGTTCTTTCTAGATATTAGCCGGTCCGTAATAAAGTGCCTCATCGGTGGGCGGGAGTTCAAGTTAATGTTGAAGCTCTTTGGAGTCTAGAAATAGGGTTATTAGCTTTTTGAATCTGGTAAACGTATCACAGTTACGGATAGGCATTGGCAGCCTGTTCCACAATAAACTGTACCGTACTGTAAAGAACTTACAACGCATTTGTTTTTGGTGTTTTACGGTAAGTAGTGTATATGCGTTGTTTCTAAGTCTATAGGCTGGGTCGTGGGTGATAGTCGGGCAGGAGGTCAGAAAGGAGAGCCCATATATCGCTTTGTAGAGAAATATTAAATTGTGTTTTAGCCTACGGTGCCATAAAGGTTCTAAAGATAGATGCTTACATCTGTCTGTGTAATCGAGATTCGAGTTACATCCTAGTAGTTGACGTGTGAAACGTCTTTGAACATCTTCTACTCTTATCTTGTCTGCGATATTCATATTAGAGAAGACAAAAGAGCAGTATTCAAGGGTGGGTCGTACACATATTTTGTAGAGAGTAAGTTTACCCTCTGTTGTGAAAAAGTTTTTCATTATAAAACCAATTAGCCGTCTAGATTTAGAAATAATGGAGGAGGCATGTTCTTCAAAGTTTAGGCTTCCTGTGTAATTAATTCCTAAATCGTGTACTGATTCGAGTGTTTGGACTATACATTCATTTAAGTGAAGTCGCGGTTTATAGGGATGCTTTCCAAAGTGCATGATCCCGCACTTGTTGAGGTTAAATGGTAATTGCCATTTTTCACTCCATATAGTTAAGTTATTGAGGTCCTTTTGGATCTGGGATACACTTTCGCTTAGTGTCTCAGGCTTATAGCTGTATACTATTTTGAGATCATCAGCATATAAGTACGGTTTCCCAAATTCTATGGTGTTACATATATCGTTTATATACATAAGAAACAAAAGTGGCCCTAATACGCTTCTCTGGATGACTCCACTGGTGATTGGTCTAGGGGACGAGAGACAGTCATTGTACTTGTAATAGAACCTCTTCTTTCTTTGGTTTATATAAACGATCTTCCACTGCAAGTATCGTCAGACATTACTTTTTCCTGGTGATGTGAAACTTTAGAGAGAGCTACGTTACCAAGGGGACATACTGGCACTTCAGGAGGACCTGACTCGACTTCAAAATTGGACAGATGACAACGAACTTACCTTTAGCACTTCAAAGTAGTTCATCTGAGACATGTTGCAGGCTACGGCTACAACTTAGGCAACTACCCTCTAGAAGTATCCCAAGTTGAAAAAGATTTAGGAGTGCTGGTACCCTACGATTTGAAGTCTTACGCTAACCGCAACAAAAATGCCTTTCGAGAAAACCTTGTGCTGGTAACACTGAAGCACGTTTTTGGCCAGTTTGACGGAAGAACCTTCCATATAATCTTCAACAGTTTCATTCATCCCCACTTAGAGTACGGAAACAGCATTTCCTCCCTCACTCCTAAAGAATTACGACACTTCAGGACGTATCCAACGGCGAACCACGAAATCAGTTCGAGGACTCAAATTCAAGCCTTATGAAGAGCGCCTTCAATTACTTAACCTTTACCTATTAGAGCATAGGCGTCTTAGAGGTGACC